AACACATCATCTTCAATATCTCATCATAAATCTTGAAACCAAGAATCTTACTAAATTTTCAACATGTTCTAATTTCATTTCTAACACTTTATAATTCTAATTCTAACTGATGACAAGTCAAATTTAATCTCAAACTTCACTTACTAACTCTTTCTCACAATTTCATTTAGAAACTTCTTATATTCAATCCTCTATAACTTACAATTCTTTTAGTTTTTACATCCCTGTACGTTTCCATAATCTTTCCTAATGCTCTAACAATCAAAACCATTCATAACTTTCTAGAAATAACCAACTAAAACAAAGCTTACCTTAGTTATGGAGCTCATGTTGAGAGGAATAAAAAGGATGAAGAGATGTCTAGAATTCTTGATTTTTCCTTTCTCTCTTCCGCGTGGTTATATAAAACAACCATAATGGGATTTTTAATTATTTTCTAGTATAATGACCAATATTCCTTCTTTTCTATTTAATCCTACACAAATAATTTTCCAGATAAACCCCTGAACTTTTCAATTTTTCTAAATTAGACATAAAGTTTCAAAATCTTACAATTTAGTCATTAACCTGGTTTTTGGGATGTTACAAATCTCCCCCCTTAAGAAAATTCATCCTCGCATTTTCACTGCACGAAAAGATGGGGGTAAGTTCTCAGTAATGTACATGGGATAATAAAAGATATAATATGAAATGATATGGAATAATGTGATATGTTATTATTTGTTAAATGCATGTCTATATATGTTATTGTTAAGTAGATATATGATGACTTTTATTACATTATGATATTATAGGATTGCATGTTTCATGATTTCATTATGGTATTATTGTATTATATGTCTCACTAAGTTTGTGACTTAGCGTGTGAGTTTTTCACACGTAGGTTCCAAGAAATCATAAGATCCACGTTAAGACCAGTCAGCAGGACAATATAGACCAGTTGAAGATCAATCATAATTTATTTAAGATGTAATTATATGTTATTTTGTTGGCATATAAAGAAATGTTTAAATCAAACATGCTCTGATCGGTTGTGTAATCCTTTTTTATTATACTTATGTAAATTATTTAGTTTTATTATAATGAAAGTTTGAATTTTCAACTATCTTGTAAGAGTAAAAGTTTTGAAAAGTCAATGTGATATCTCGAATTCATAACTGGGTCGGATACAGGTTGGGGTATTACACTAACCAACACTAACCCGAAGATCTTAGGAATGCCTAAACCTTTTCTCTGATACCACTATATGTAACACCCTAGACCAGTACGACACACAATCGACTAATTTTGAATGCCACACGGAACCACCAGAGTGGCTAACCAACTCTTTGGTCATTTCCTTAAAACGCCCATTTTTGTAATATAAAAACATCTATAAAATAAAATATACTTTAAAACTTTACATCGGAGAGCTCTCAAAATAAATAAATACATTTCAAAATATATAGGCTGACTCTTAATTGACTTTACAAATCAATACAGTTGGGTTTATGAATATACATGCACTTCAAGAAACTTGATAACGTACTCTACTTTTCATTGGATATGGACCTTGGTTATTATAAATCTTCTCGAACTGGTCGATATACTAACCAACAAATGAAAACATTCGAAGGCTGAGCTAACTAGCTCATTGCCACATTAACAACTAGAACATACTAAAAGTGCATCACTGAAAGGCTCAAGTCATCTAGTCTACTACTCTTCTTTAGTGGGTATACTTGTATACTCATTCTCTACTCTATGGTAGACATCATGGTGTGGCTGAGGGATCTCTGTATCTCTGAGCTCACACACCCCCTAGTCTACCAAGGTTGGTTATCCAAAATTTCTACATCAGTCAACCCCCTCGACTAGCACACTCCTTGAGTGTCGAACCTTGCACCCAAACTAATCAGCTTAAAGTGCCTCGCGCACTCCCTAAGGATATATTCAGACTGAATCTATACTTTTGAATCCGCTAGTTTTTCTAAGAGAACTTGGGTGTCCGAATCGTTTCCCAAGCATCAAACAAGGCTAGTTTTATTTTACCTTAATTATTCTCGTTTCTATGTTTGAATTAAACATTAATATTGTTTCACTTATAGTCTTATTTGGGAGTAATTATAAGCTTTTGGGAAAACCTCACTTGCCTCTATATCTCATTGCTTTAAAGCCTAAAATGTACCCTTGGTATTGATTATGGTCTTACAATATCGATACCCACTCTGCAGTATTGATACCCTACCTAAGGTATCGATACCCCTATAGTTATTTCATCCATTGTAACCTAACTTTAAACACCTTCTCTAGCATTTATTCTAGTGTTTTACACTATTCGATCCCATTTATGGTCATACTATGGGTCTAGGGCCTCTCGAGAAACATTTTGGGCCAATTTTGACATTTTGGGCAGGAATCTTTGCTGCAGAATGTCATTATGAACAAGGGGTCTTGAAACCTATACTACAAATTTCAGTTTTTCACCTGATAAAACTCTCCAAAACACTCTAAAAACCTTTTAAGGTCCCCGATTTCCTACCTTGAGGTTTCCTAATTATTATTTAAGTTTTATGTGATCATAAGGGTAAAATATAAGGCTTTATAACATGCTAATAACATCAAACATTAAATCTACCATGCAAACTTGCTAAACACGCTTCAAACTTAACTTTCTAACGATAACTCCTTCTAATGACCAACAATTACTATGAGGAAGTTGTGAGTGTGTTACTTGGCCTCCTTGGTTGCTAAAACTCATCCTGAATCAACTAGGATTCACCTTTTCCAAATCATTTTCTTTAGAACTCTCTTCTACCTCTTTAACTAATCACAAGAAAATCTAAGAGTTATTAACTTGTCTATGGCTTGGAAATTATATGAAAAACACTTGATACAACTCAAATTCTCACAAACTAACTTAAATTTCTTGGATTCTATAAACCTCCCCAAAAACCCATTTTCTAAATTCTCAACCAAAACTAAAGATCTAAGACTTGAATAGAAGCTTAAGGGACATGGATTATGATTCTTAAATTGGTTTTTTAAATCTAGGAATAGGATCTCAAAAGCTCTCACCTTTTATTGCTCTTAGGAAGGAAGAAAAAGAGGGAAATGAGAGATGAAAGGGAAGATATTTTTTGGTTTGGTTTTCAAATGAAAGTTTCTAGATATAAAGGGGTTTTTATCCTTTAAAATTGACTACTGGTAAACTACACTTTTGTTCCTCATTCCTTTACCCCATGCTAAATTCACAACCTCTCTAAACTCTTGGGCCAAACTTAGTCCCAATAGTCTCATAAACTGGTCTCAACTGCTTTGAAATATCTAATGGGCTTGACTTACGAGTCTCAAGTTGACCCGAACTACTGACCTAAAATTCGGGGTATTACAACGATGATGTTGGTTTCGCGGATGTAACGTCCTAAAATCGGGTTTGGTAGTTAGGGTCGATTTCGGGTCAATTTTCAGATTTCCCATAAAAAGGAAGAAATTTTCTAAAATTTATATTTTAGTTTAAAAAATATTTTGGAAAGGTTTTAAGTGATTTTAGATGATTAAATGATTTGGTGGCCGAAATGAAGGAATTAGAAATTATAATTTTGGTGATCATTTTGTAAATTTTCACAATGTCCAAAGCCTATGAAGCAATTATACGAGGGCTTATGTTTAGAGTTTTCCCTCCTAAATTAAAATATTTTAATTTTCCCTTTTTACTATTTTTCCATCTAGATTCATTTTAATCTAAATTATATTTTCTTATTTACTTGTTTCCACTCACGTGCTTTTCATTTCCTTCTCATTTTGCATTTTGGAAACTTTCCGTAATTTTCTCCATTTTCTCTCATTTTTCTCCCAAACAAACTGATCAATTCTTTTTCTTTTTCTTCTTGATTTCTAAACTCACTCATCTTAATTTTTATTTTAATTCTCAAGTTTCTCTTCTTTTCTCTTCCTGTTTTTAAAGCTTGATCATAATGGAGTTCCATTGATGATCTCAATTTCAATCTATTTTTCCAGAAAGGTAAGGATCTTTTCCTTGGTTTTTTTTTTCAAGCTTTGAGGGCAAGTGACTGAGTGTTAATGATTCAATTGAATTGTTGATTTAATTGAAGGGATTTCTAAGATTTTAATTAATTTTCAAAGCTAATTAATGTGTTGATTTCTTGAATTGATTTTGAGGTTTTATTAATGAAATTGAGTTATTTTTGGAGTGATTATAATCATATTAAATCAATTTTTCAATTGCAAATGATTTGGATATTGATTTCTTGAAAATAATGTTGATTTTCAGTATTTTTGGGAATTCGAGAATTTAGGTTTGTAGATGTTGTTTTGTGCGGTTCTAGATGATTTAGATGTTGATTCTAGTTGTTGTTTATCAGCTTTTAGTGTGGAGATTCGTGCGTTTCGATTTGGAGCTTCTGGAGTGACGTTTCAGTAAGGTTTTTGGTGTTTTCGGCATTTGCGTTCTATTTTAGAAACAAAGGATTTTTCTTTGTTTTAGATTAGATTTTGATGTGTTAATTTTCTTTGAAAGTTTCTTATTGTGTTGTTAGTTAAGGAAACTTGGTGCTTTCGGTTTTTTGAACATTGAGGTAGTGTTTGGAATCATTTTGAGTTTTCAGACATTAAGGTGAGGCTCTCATTCTTAGGAAATGATCATGATTCAAGGTTGAGGTTTGTGTGGTGTTGCATTTATTAAATCTAATATATATTGTGTTATTTGGTTAATTATGATGATGGAATGTGAATTATGTTGATTTACATAAGATGCCACTTATGTTGGAAATGAGAATGTGAATTGTGAATGTGATGTGTTGCGAATGATGCATAGGATTTTGGAAAGGTTTTGTGAAAATCTATATATATTATGAATGTGAATTGGATGAGCTGAACTTTCTCACTGTCCAATTATGTGGGTTGATCATGACAACCAAATTTGTACGTGTGTTTCAAAGTGTATTTGAATTGATATGTGAAAACTATGCATCATTAACAACCGCTCTTGGTGAATTAGATTAATTGGCTATTACTCTTAATAGGACCTTTGGATATAAAGGCATGCCTAGGAAAGAATTTACTGCTAGAAGCGATGCACCTTGTAAAGGTTGAGCAGCCGATGCCTTGGCATGATTCTCCCATGCTCTTCCGCTATATATCTGCAAAAACTAGACAGTAATTTACTGCTTTCTTGGCAAATGTTAAGAGCCAAATCAAGGAGGTTATCAGGATTTGTGTCATCAAGGCTAAGGAGGTACATCAAACCTTGATCATAGCTAATGCGATGGCGATAAAGGTGTAAGAAACATGGGTGACACCGAGCACGAATACAAAATGGTGAAGCTGCTCAAGGCTTTCATATGAAGCAAAAGAATCTTTGCCCTGTGTACAAAATTACAAACTGTGAAGAATTCCATGACATTTGCAAATGTAAAATGAAATTCAATAAGGCTAGAAAGATTTCACAGGGTACCTCAGGACAGTAGTCATGCAGCTCATGCTGCCTGTGAGCTGCAGCCTCAAGATCTCTGGGAGCTGTTCAACCTCACGCTGTACTTAGAACTTAAAACAAACATCTGCTGCAACTTCATCCGATCGCTACGCTTTGCGCAAGGAGAGAATCGGCTATCCAGGGCTGACGATTTTATGCAAATTTTAGCAAAGAATTCAATCCAATGGACCATCAATAAGGAAAAAACCCCAAAAAGCATCAATTCTGCTCACAGATGATAACACCGATTACGCTTGATACAATGAAGCCGTAACATAAAAAGCAATCTCAAACAAAGTTTAGCCTCTTCAATCTTCTCCGAGGCTGCCAGCAGAGATTTTCTCTTAGTCTTTTCCAACCACTACAAAAGGGAAAAACGAAAGATGGAATCAAATACATTGAAAAGAATGGAACTTGATGAGAGATGAGTTATTTACACGGCCAAATCTTTTCAAAGAGTGATGAACCAGAAAACCAAAAGCAACCATAACAGTGATCACAGTTGCAAGAGCCCAGGTTGGGGTTTCCTCCAAGGATTTCCCTTCTCTGAGTGCAGGCTCTCCTTTCTCCATTTTCTCTCTTCAAAATTATGTTTCTTCTTCTTTAGAGCATTGAATATTAACAAACATGGAATGGGGTTTTCAATAAAGAGCAGAGATTTTGATGGTTGGGGTTGGGTGGTGCCATGAAATTGAGACCGTTCCAGCTGAAGAGAAATTAAGAACACGTGCATGGGTCGTTGAAGTTGTTTACAGGGCTGGTTCAAAGGGGTTGGGACCCAGCAACGCAGATTAGAGGTGATCGTTCGATTGAGTCGAGTCAAAAAATTTCGAGTTATTCGAGTTTACGAGTCTTATTTTACAATTTGGAATTGACTTAAAATTTTTTTCGAGTCAAGTTTATAAAATTTGAGTCGAATTTTCGATTTTATGTTTAAATTTAATTATTAATATTTATAATATTATGATATTATTTTATTTCCATTTAAATGATTTTTTTATGATCTTATAAAATGCAAATATATATAACAATATATTCTTGTGTGATTGTTTATAGAAAAAATACAATACATATATTTATTTCATACGTGACATATATATATATATATCAAATAGAATTGAGAGACTCTACTTAAACATGAAAATTCATCTTTTAATTACTAAAAATTTCGAGTTATTCGAATTGTATTTTATAACTCGATTTGAACTTGACATTTGTTTCGAGTCTAGTCGAGTTTATGAAATTACAACTCGAATTCATTTCGAGTCGAGGTTTTATCGAATTGAGTCAAATAAAAAATTGATTTTTTGAGTCGAGTCGAGATTTACTCATCCTTACGCAGATGTTACACCAGTTGGGTTGGGAGTTGTTTGTACATTTGGAAAGCGCTACGTGACTGTCTTTTCACTTACACCATTTTCTTAGGAGGTTCTTAGGCGTAAATATGGTTAAAAAAGATATGGAAATGGTGGTTTGGACCGGATTTTATGCATAAACTCACCACATCATTCACTTGTTTTTTACGCTTTTTGGCCAGAGAGAGACAAAACCTATTTGAAAAAAAAAAAACTGAAGATATATGTAGTTAGGTATATTAAAGGAGGGAAATATTTTGTTTTGAAGCATGAGGTATGACGGTCAATTTTCGTATTACCCATGACAAGGGTTTGTGTATTTATTTATTTATAGTTGTGTGTTGTATGGTGATCATGAAATCATCCTCATAATTTAATCGTTAAACACATACAAACTGAACCACTAACATGAAGGGCAAACGAGCATTTTGGTTTAGCTTTTAAAAAGTTTTGGCAATTTTTGACTAAATCAAAGTACAATTTAAAAGGATTTCATACTGTCGGATTGGAGCATTTTGGTTGAAAATTAGATGGGAATATGACTCCCCCGGATCAGTTTAATGGATGAAAGTAGCTTTAGCTGGAGTTGGATATCACATACCAATAGTTTTACCGGCTCTACATCAAAATGCATCGTCCTAGACATTTTGTCTGTAGACACTAGTTTTTTATCCATTTTATTATTATTATAATTTTTATTTATTTATTTATTTATTTATTTATTTATTTATTTTTATTTATTTATTTATTTTATTATTTTTATTATTATTATTATTATATAATTACAAACATTACAGGCCCAATAGTAGACCCAGAAGCCCATTTACAAGACCCGGAGGCCCATTTACAAACCCAACCCAAATATAGTAGACCCAATCCAGATAACCCGTCCTGGCCCTGATCCGAATAGCCCGACCTGATCCAGCCCAGATGACCTGAGAAGGCCCAAAACCTAGTTAGGGTTTCTATATTTTCTGCTAGGGTTTTTAAACCATATCTCCAACCACCACATATCTCAGCCGTTGATCTGGTGAGATCCAACGGTCCAGATGCTTTTAGAGAAAACCCTAGGGTATCATAACCCTAGGGTTATGTCTGTTTTCGCTCCACTGCCAGGTGTTCCAACCAGCCACTGCCGACGCTCCGCTGCCACGCCACCGCCTCACCGAAGTCTCCAGAAGCACCACGACGCCACACATGTCGGCAGCCCTATGGTGAGTCACCACCATAGCTTTGGTGACTCACCTAGGCTTCTCCTCTTTACCCAATTTGAGGAGAACATCATCGAAACCTATAAAGGCCATCGACCAAACCTGCAAAGAATGAGCCTTACCATCATCAGAGCTTCAACGCGCTGTCGGAGAACCGAAAAAAATCGAAGGTAAAAAATTAGATCTAGCTCGATTGATTTGCTTTTAGGATGAAAGGGGTTTAGATCTGGCTATAGGGTAAACATGGCTTCGATTTGGGGAGTTTTGTAATTTCCGGCCACCGTTAGTGGCGGCGAAAAAATCCGGAGCAAGGCTGCCGGTCGATGGTCGGATTCCCTCCGGTGAGGTAATTCTAGAGAGAATAGAGAGAAGCAAAATGAAAATTTTGGCCTAAATGGCTGGTTTTTGGGGTTTAAATACCCCTCCCCGAATGATGTCGTTTTGGGAAGGGGTCCCTGTGTAATTTCGAGCATGGTAAAGTCATGTATGCATTCCCTCCGAATTTGTAACCATTACGTTTTAGTCACTGAAAGTCAATTTCTTAGTTTTTTAATTTTGTTTTCGAATTTTATTTTATTTTCAACACTTATATATATATATATATATATTTAGGGTAAAATAACCTATTTAGCACCTATAATTTTAATAATTCATATTTTAACCTATATAATTTATTATGGTTAAATTTCCCTCTTAATGCCTATATTACATGATATTTCGAATTAGTATTTTTAATTTTGATATTTTATATTTTGAATCCCTAATGTTTTAAATAATTATATTTCCAATCATAAATTTTATTACTTTTTAATTTAATCCTATAGTTTTGTAATTTTTCAATTTGGTCACTATTTAATTGTAATTTATATTATTACCCTTTATGTTTCAATACTTTAAATATAGTCTTTAAAATGTTGCTTTTATTTTTTTATTTTATTTATTTCATTTTAGTCACTTTTATATTTTTATGACTTGACTAATTTCATAATTTGATTAAAGGATTATTTATTTTTTTAATATTAAGAAAGGGATGCCTTAAAGTAACTGGATGTCCTATTTTGATATTTTAAAATAAATAAATACCCTGAAAAATAAAAAATGCTTATTTAGTCGAATCAAATTATTTTAATATTATTTTCTTAGGAATAATTATCATATTTTATTTATTTTTTTAAGAAAAGGGTTGTCTTAAAGTAACTAGATGTCTTTTCTTATATTTTTAAATAAATAAATTCTTTACTATAAAAAATCTATATTTATTTTAATCATATTTTTTCCTTAGAACTATCTGATTGAATTTGAAATAACAAGATCATAAATTAAATTCATATTTGAATTCTTAAATTTCTATTATTAGAGACAATTTATAATTGAAGGGTACCAATTTTGGACGTTATAGGGGTGCTAATCTTTCCCGAAACGTAACCGACGACGAATCCCTTTTTATTACTAAAAAGAATGAATTTTTGGTTAAACGCAGACCGATTTATCTTTTAACTGATGTTTTCTTAAAAACTCTCTTAAAAGGTGATTTTGAGGTATTCGACCTATCTAACCCAAAAGGTCGATGGCGACTCCAAAACATTTCATTAAAAACCTTTTATTTATTCACCTTATTTTTCCGCCAAGGAAATTCGTACCTGGGCGAAAACTAGTTACGACAGCTTGGCGACTCCGCTGGGGACCCTGGTCAAACCTAAACCGATTATATATTGTCTCTATAGTTGGAAATTGATAATTCAATTTTATTTAATTTATGATTCTTTTGATTTCTTTCAATTTATTTTATACTCTTGTATATTAATATTTGATTGATTTTTAGATATTAGGATTCAATTTTTGTGATGCTTTGTCAAAGGATCGAGAATTTCTCCTCACACATAACACATGCATTGCATAAACATAAGCTCTATGCTTGAGCTCTTTTCCCTTCTAACTGGGAGTGAAAGTGACGTCTTCATGAGAATTTATTCTCTGTGTCAGATCTAGCAAATATCTTTCGGGGTTCATATGCTCTATGTCTTCGAGAGAATTTATTCTCTGTGTCAGGCATAGGGAAATGTGCCCTCTCGAATTGAACTCGATCTGCTTTAAGCCTATAATGGATGAGGATTAAGGGTTTGGCAGCCCAAGGGGGACCCAACAAGGACAATTCGAGTACCTTTACTCCTAGAACCGAAACCTTGCATATAATAAATCGTAGAAATTCACCTGATCTAAGACAATGTTGAAACTTCGTCCATAGGTGTACACAAAGGAGAAATGAACTCTAACATTTGTCTTCTACTTTATTTGATTTTTTTTCTATGAATGTGAACTAGTAATCATGCTGTTAGGTTAATTTTTCCAAACAAAGCATGGAACTAGAAAGCATGATGGTAGAATTTATATATATATATATACACCATGATAGATAGGATATTTTCTTTCCATTAATTGGTACTAACATTTTATTTTTTCTTCTTATTTTTATCTATTTTGTAGATACATTTTATTTTGTGCTAACTTTTTTATATTAATTTCTTTTGTTTGCATTACATTTGTATTGCTCAATACATTTCCAAATCATCTATTAAAACATTCATTCATTAAAATAAGGATTTCGACCGAAGTGATCTTGGTTCTTACTTGTAGCAAGAACGCTTAGCATCTGCACGGCACAAGAAAAATGTCTAAAGAAACGGAGGATAGGCTAGCCAAAATTGAGATAGAGCAGAAAGAGATGCAAGAAGAATTGAGGAGCAAGTTGGCACAAATTAAAGCTAATATCGCAAACTCTCAGATCGATCTACTGAACAAGATGAAAGAAATGTTTGGGAAGCATTTGACCACTGGAAAGAGTCTTGTTAAAAACCCCACATAACCTCTGGGTGTTACACTTGTTCACATTTTGGGGCATACCTCTGTTCATCAAGAAATCCAATCACATGTCCACTTCACTATTAAGAACCCACAATATCAGGTTGGAGCTTCATTCCCCACTGACTGTCCTATTGCTTCTGGGTTGAAGCCAAATGAATTTTGTACTGATAATGAAGTCCTTGACCCAAATAAATTAATTGAGAAGGAAAAATTCACCCAACGACTGAAAAATATAGAAGAGGTGATAAAATCTAGAGAGATGGTTGAATCATTTTATGGGTTTGACGCCGAAGAGCTAAGTTTGGTCACTAACCTGGTTCTCCCACTAAAGTTCAAGGTTCCAGATTTTGAGAAGTAT